AAATAGCGTGTCAAGTTGATTGGATTTAAGTCATAGCTATTGCCTCCCTGACTTCAAATCATAGTTAACTTATTCGACGAAAAGAGTAACGTTAATAGTGTTAATCTATAATTTGAGTAAAAAGTTATATATTTATATAAAATTAATTCATTATAGTTAATTAAATGTTAAGCTAAAAGCTATAATTAATGAGATTAATATATATATTGATAATAAAATATATAATAATTATAATGCTAAAAATAAAAAATAACAAATTAATAAAATATTAATATTTATGAGTAGTCAGTCATATATTCTTTGCATTTTCATATTTTACATTATTAAAAAGTGATTATACTGCATTATTTGTAATATCATTATCATTCAATTGCTTTACTAACAATATAAATAATAAAAAATTTAATCATATAAAAAGTTTTAAAATAGTATGTTTAAATTTAATATAATTTATAGTATTATTACTAATATTAAAATCAAATTTCACCTAAATAAATAGTAAAAATTATCTTAGGTTTATCATCTTGTGAAATTTAAACATATTTGTAAAAAGCAGATGCAAATAATCTTATTACATTTTTTTTCATTTTCTTAAAGATGCTTAATATTTGACCTTAACTATTTCCTTCTGCTATACAATTATGCATTTTACTAAAATATTAGGACCGTTCATTAAATATTATAGACAACATATTCTTTTCTTGAGATCGTTTTCGAGCTTAAGCATTACTTTTTAAACGTTGGAGCCTTTTTTCCTTAATAATTATAGTCTCCTCTAGTATTTGATTTTTGAAGAAAATCGAGAATGGTTTCTGATGATTTAATCTTATCGGAAAAATGCTGGGGAAGGTTTAGATGCATATTTCTGATGTGAAGTAGGCGAAATGAAAGTAAAGGAAGAAGGTTGTATGTTAGAAAAAGGTTGGAAATAAATCTTTTATCCTCTTTGTGCCCGAAGTTGAATTTCATTTTTATTTGGCGCAACGTTATGACTTTCTACCACATATTGTCTAAAGTATTTTTGTGGTTTGGAATAAGGCAAACGATTTTTTTTTTTATCGTCAAATTTGGTGCGTACATCATAAAAAAAAGAAACAACGCTTAATAGTTAAAACTGACATGTTTTATTTAAAGTAAAAAAAAATATAATTGATATAAGAAAATTAAAATTAAAAGGTGCTTGACTGGTATTCGAAACCAGTTGAGAAAACAACCAAAAGGTATCAAATTTTACGAAAATATGTTTTTTTTTTTTATGTCTATAATACTAATAAAATGTTTATGATAAGAATTTGTCAAACATATTGCCGTTTTTGACATTTTTTGAAGTTTTTCATGTTTTTCATTTTTCTTGACCTATAATCGAAATCTACATCTGTATCACTATCCTCGTACGCTCTGTGATTTGCTGATTGCTGTAAATTAGCAGATGCTTCTGCAATACGGAGCGTTTCTTCTTCCATCTGTTTTGCAATATCTTCAGGTTTCATGTTTATATATTTTGAGACCATTTCATAAATCTTTTGTGGAATCATGTCAATTTCGTTGCGATATAAAACCATAGTCATCATAACTTCACAAGGAGGCAACAACCTTTCGGGAATTTGTTCAAGAATATCTCGAGGGAACTCAACTTCAGGATTTTCGACCACACCTTTAAACATTTTTTTAATCTGATAATGAGTACAATAACCAAGTTCAAGATGTACGTCCATGCGACCAGGACGAATACAAGCAGGGTCAAGAAATTCAACGTGATTTGTCGTCATGATGATGATATTTCCTTCAGCTAATATATGACCATCCAAATATCCCAAGAAAGTTGATAAACTAAATCGTGGTTTATCTTCTGATTTATCTTGTTGATCCGAGGATGAGGAATCTTCAGTTCGTTTGTGAAGAACTTTAGATTGGGTGTCGACATCTTCGAGTACAATAAGGTTATTAGGGGGAACGCCACTAAACGCGGCGCTTAAATCATTATCATCCTTGATGTTTTTAAGATTTAAGTAATAAATATCACGAGATAATTGTGAAGAGATCGCATTCACTAAACTAGTTTTTCCCGTTCCCGGCTTTCCATATAATAGAATGCCACGTCGATAAGGCAATCCAATTCTTTCGTAGAAACTTTTATCATTTATAAACGTTTCTAATTCCTTTCTTAATATTAATTCAAGCGGTTCATCCAATGCGACCGTATCCAAACCTCTAATTGAAGATAACGTTTGCACGTATTCCCAAACGCAATAATTTCGTTCATATCTCGAACGCCCTTTCATTCTTTTCTGATCTTCTTTATGAGCTCGTGTTACTTCATTTAAAAATTCTGTTATATCATCAACGTTCGTACTGGAATCTTTAAAAGTTGTCAAGAAAATTGAAGGTTTTGCTTTTGATGATTCGTTTTTGTTATTGTTATTGTTATTACGATCATTACGAACTTCATCATGATGGTCGGGAACGTTAAACTCAACCTTGAATTTCTTTCCTTTAAATTTAATGGAAATTACTTGATCTTTCTCCGGAAGAATATTAAATTCTGGAGGGGCGCACTCGTCTTTCTCATAATCATTGATCATAAAATTTGTTGTAAGTTGTACAATGAAAGAACCATTATCTAGGGATTTTGTTTGTTGAGAGATTAACCAAGACAAAGCTTCATAAATTGGATTAGCGCTTGGCATACCATACGGACCCATAATAAGATATTCAATTTGAGCCGTGACGCAACGTTTCTTTCTCCATGACCCTTTTCTGATGACAGAACCAAAGAACGTGAATAATGTAAAAGCTAAAGCACAAAGTCCGTACGCAAAGGCGTTGGTCAGAAACATATCAACTGCCATTATTCCGGACATATATGATTCTAATTTTGTTGGAAGCCATGCCAAGAGAATTGATTGCACTTGCGATTGAGTGAATAAACTAACAAAGGGGTGAAAAATGTCTGTATAATCGATATAACTATGCATGATTTATTATTGATTTTACGAGTAAATTTTTTGTTTTTTTTTTTAAAAAAAAAATTGAGTAAAGGAATGAGGTTATTTTTTTTTTTTGGGATTTATAATTTTTTCTTTCCCTAATAGATCTGATAATGTTATTGTTGAGATCCAACAATTACATGCTGATCACTCGTCAAAACAATTTTAACAAGAACGCGTACCTATCACATGATTGACCTTTCTATAAATGTCACGAAATGGCCGGCATTAAAGTTTCCGGCCAGAATTAACCAGCCAGGACTACTGGTGACAAATAACGAGTGACAAATAGGCGCTTTGTCCAGTACTTAATAAGAATGGAGGGGCGTGACCCGGGGTGATAAAATTTGGCACGTGAATTCGTGACATTTCGAGAAGGTTACGCAGGAGATAATCTCTTTTTTATTTCATTGTCGATAATTGACTTTACAACAACAGCAGAAAACTTCTTCACTTTTTTTTTTTAATTGCCACGCGAAAAAAGAAACGAATTGTATACAGCGTCATTCTCTTTTAAGAAACAAAAGAGAAAACCTTGGCGCAGCGATCCTTTCTCTGTCATTGTCGGACAAAAACAGTTACTTGCATATCTTTGCTTTTTTAAAAATGCAAAAGAGAAAAATCAAACCTATGCCTAAAATAGTGATTAGGCGCATGAATAGAAAGTTATTCCTGATGCAATACTGACTACTGATCAGTTAATCTGTGACAAAAAAGATTCTTTTCCCCCCGAATACTTTGAAATAATAAAAAGTGGAGTTAGTAAATTTGTTAAGTCACATGATACCGCCAACAAGCCATTTTTTTCAAAAATTTCACATGCTTCTAAAATTATCGAATCAACATTTCGATTCATTGAGGCATTAATGCACGAAATAATCATCTCATTCTTTAAAAACCCAATTGAGATTATCACAATTAAGCGTTCATATGTGAGAGATTTGGAGATTTTTTTTTTTTTTTTTTTTTATAGTTCTGTATAAATCTTAATTATGTAACCGAAAGGTAATAATTTTTTTGGCGGGAGTAATTATGAGTCGTATGATATTGTTAAATATTACAGAATCAGAAAAACTCCAAAATCTCGTTTAAAAAGTTGCTAGAACTAAGGATTTATTTAACTGAGACTAGGAACAAAATTTTTACATACAATATCTATAATAATACAATATAACAAATTCGCTATATCAACCATCTACATTTGAATGCTTCATTTTTATCAATTGCTTAATAAAGAAAGCTTTACATAAAAAGAATTCGTTTAAACAAAATTTTCATTCTTTGCATAATAATGATATATATTTTGGAAACATAATTTTCTACATTTTGCTACGATAAAATGGTAATACGTCAACCAGAATTACAACAATATTAATTACAAAAGATTGTCTTACCATCCATTTTGGGATTGTTTTTATACTTCAACCCAATGATTTCTAGTGATATCAGATATGCAATATGTGTGAGAACAAGGATATTTTAAATAAAGTATTATCTTTTACATGCCGAAAAGGGTTAATGTTTATTAATTATTTAATTTTTTTTGGATAATGATATCATGTTTATGGTAAATCATATGATCCAAAATAGTAATGAATCTGATTATGGACATCGTATGATCCCTAACTTAAAAGGGACTTTTCCGTTAAATTAAATTTATAAAATTTATTGTCCTGATATAATTGTGATGAAGAAATTAATAGGATGATTAAATGAATTAAATGACAAGTCTCGTTGAAATAGATATACTTCTATTAATAGAAAATAATTTCATCATAAAGGGAAGTCCCCCAGGGAAATGTATTCCGAACAAAGCAAAGCCAGATTCCTTTATCCGAAATTGTATAACAGGGATGCTCTTTTTTTTTTTTTTCTTTGATTTTCCAAAGTTAGAATTCCACATTGTAATCTCAATTAGAACTTATTTTTAGTAAGAAAAACGGTTGGTTTTAGAAAGTCATTTAACATTTAACATATGGCAATATTGTGTTTGTATTCAATACCGTCCTTTCACGATAAGGAAGTTTTGAATGATCGTTCCCCCCTTCCCCCCTTCAAATGGATATACGTCACAAAATTCCATAAATTTACTCTTTAATCCCGTGTTTTTTATTTTAAACCGATGAAAGCAACTTACAATATGAAGAAATAGAAAAGCATTGACCAACAAATACACAGTAATAGTAACCACGTTACCAATGTTATGTTTCTCCCAAAAAAATGCTAACAATAATAATTGTGAATAAAGCTTGTGTCATCCATATGCATAAAATCATCATAATATTTTGATTCTCCGTGATATTCGGGTCGTTCAAGATGGGTTTTAAAAAAACTTTATCGGAAGAACTTTTTTTAAAAAAGGTCTCCCTTTAATTGTGCTGTTGTCGTACAATTTGTTTGACCACCAAGTACATGCATGTAATTAAGTTTGTGCTATCGATCATTTTCACTGATTTGACGAGAAATGTACCAAGTTCGTCAAACGCCGATTGCTTCATTCTATATTGTCCATTTCCTTTTTAGCATTTTATATTATATCAAGATTAAGACAAGATCAAACAAAAAAATGGTAAAACTATTTTGGAATTCAGGCACGACGAGGCGCAGTTCGTCGCGAAAAAATAAAGGGCACGATAGATATTTGATTAAATTATTCGAAATTAGGAACTCAAATCATTATTAACCATTTATTAAAACAGTCATTATCTTAAAAAGTTAAACTTGTTACTGAAAAAAAAAAATTACGGAAACGCTAAAGTACAAAATTAAAGAAATTAAAAAAAAATAAATGTTTTTCCAATAAAAATTTCACATTTCTTCTATCTAGAATTTTCCTGAAAGCTGCGGATTATCACAATTCTATTCTCGTAATAAAAAAAAAAAATGAAAAAAGAATTGTCTTGTAAATGTTTATTTTTGCAAACAAAAAAAAAATAATAATGTTGAAAATGCAAAAAAAAATGGATGCACGAAACATTCTAAATTAAAATAATTTTTTAAAGATTAAAATAAAACATTAATAATAATAAAATAAGTTTTGTAAAACTAAAACTAAGGATAACTTAGAAGTTTCATCTTGATGTCATGATCATAATGATCACATGTGGTTCCTTTACAAAATTCAGAAGCGAAGTAAGAGGAAAAGATGTTGAATGTTTTTAAAATATTGTCTTTGACGGCCGTTGTAAAAGTTTTAAGTTCATCTCCTTTCACTCCGGATTTCTTGGAGGCATCAATCACGGACTTTGTAAGAGATTTATAGAAAGTGCCATTACCACTTAGACGTTCAGTCATTGATTCAATTACATTCTTTACATTTCTTGGTTTAACATACTGATCCATAAAGTGGCAAATGGCTGGCGGATTTCCGCAAATATAATCTTGGTTATTACAATCGTCCATGGTCCATGCAACGCCTGCAGGTGGTTGAGTTACCCTTAATGGGTGCTGACATTGTCCTTTAAATTGTGGTGATTGATCGAAAATTGAACCTTCAATTAATTGTGCTAAACTGTTCGAAAAGGTGGTTTGAAATTTGTCGGTTCCTTCTTCGATTGCTTTATTACATGCTGATTTAGTTGATGATTTAACGGAATCAAGTCCAAAGTAAGCATTTTCTTCCAACTTTTCGACAAATGTCTTGAACAGATTCTTGATTTCAATGGAGTAATTATCACCGAACGCATGCGAAATTCCCTGACGACATGATTCTTCGCAAGCATTTATGGGCGTAACGGTAAAAAGTAAAACGGAAACTGCTACAATAGCAGAGAAAATCGTTAAATAGAATTTCATTTTTTTTTATAAAAATAAATGTTTCGTTATAAAAAAGTGTTTTTTTTTTTTGTTTTTATAAAAATTAAAAATGAAAATATTCGAAATACGAAAGTATATAAATATATATATACTACAAAAATATTGATTTTTTTTTTTTTTTTCGTTTATCAAAAGGACATAAAAATGTTAAATAGCACACGACTCTTTTATGAAACAAATTTGCTTTTTTGGAGTTAACTTGATAAAGGAATTATTTTTTAATAAAAGGCTCCTAAAATTGCAAGATTTGCTCAAGAGTAAGAAAACAAATTTTAGAGAAATTTTGTCCTTTTTATAACAAATTTAATTTTAACTAAATTTGTAACTTCCAAATTTGACCAACCATGCGATAGGGACAGGTTCTATTTGAATTATGATCACATTATGTACCTAACGTAAACTAACGAAAATTTACAATATATGTAGAACTAAACAAAATTTAATTTTTTTTTTATATACTTGCCAAGACTTACACCGAGATCACTCTGCAGGGGTATCACCACTTGACCTTTTATGGAAATTTGACGTCTAAAATCTTTTTTTATAAAAAAAAGAGTACAAATTGATTTTTTACCTTATTAGAATAATATTTCAGGAAGAATATAGAACAAATCTTGAAAGGAAAAAAAAAAAAAATAACGAAAAAAAATTTTTTACATTAAATAACAATTACGTTTTGATTTCTAGTTTAAAGATTACTCTATCTTAAATATATCAGACAAGTTCATCTCGGGCATGTGGATATGATCAGCATAAAGTCATGAATCGAACCTTTTTTAAAATAAATCAAAAAAAAAAAAATCGATCTTATTTAAGACCTCCTAAACTACTTTGGAAAAACAAAAATACATGGTGACATCTTCCCACTAATTTCGGGTCTCCATTTTTAGACCAGCATCCATCCTCCTTCCCTGGTTAATTATTAACCGCAGTCTGGATGATTTCTCTTTAAGGCCAGTGTATGCGCGTCGTGCAGGCGTAGAATTTTTTTCTTTCCAATCAGGTTATTTACGATTTCTATTTTAATCTTAAAAAATATTAAAAAATGCCCAACGTATTGCCATTAAAGCATTTAAATAATTGTAGTAGTATATAATAAAGTAAATAAATTTGTTTGTCTTGGCGTACATTGTGGCCTGTTGTTATTTTATTGCATGATGTACAATGCTTTC